GACATTGAAGCAAATGCTCCGAACGTTCGCGGCCACCAGCCAAGACAGAGAGATTCCTGCCGCACCTCCTATTTGCGTACCAGGAGGTGCCCCAGGAATCCATAGGATTCTTCCTGTTTAAGCTACTTTTCGGGAGGCGGGTGAGGGGGCGCCTAGACCTTATCAGAGAACACTGGGAAGGGGATACTAGCCAGGATGGGACCCCCATAGTTCCATATGTACTGGAGTTCCGTGACCACCTGGAGGACTTGACTAGAACAGCAAGAATGAACCGCCAGCACACATGGTACGATCAGGGAGCCAGGGACTTTCAGGTAGGACAGAGTTTGGTTTTAAAACCAGTCGGTAATGACCAGCTACAGGCAGCCTGGCAGGGCCATACCAGGTGGTAGAGTAGAATTGTGACACCACCTATGTTGATTGGCTCTTGCTCTGGAGCGGGAGGGCGACGCAAACAATACAAACAATACTTTGACACATAAATATAGTGGTGGAGATCTGCGTCTCTGCCCCCGAAGACTTTGATAACCTTTCCCTCCTAGGGGATGGGAGTCAGAAAGGAGAGTTAGGGGAGATCAAATTGGGAGAATGGCTGAGTCTTCAGGAGTGTACCTAGGTGCTGCAGTTATTAGGGGAGAAGAAGGCCTCCAACGTGCCCGGGTACACCCCATTGAACTCGAACTATGCCACCCCCTATACCGAATCCCTGGATCAGTACGGGAAAATATGCGGAAGGAGATCCAGGAGATACTCCAATTGGGGGTTATTGAGTCCTCCGAAAGCCCCTGGGCCTCCCCAGTAGTCCTAGTACCAAAACGGGATGGTAGACTACAGGAGATTAAATGATAAAGCTGTGTTGCTAGACAGGATGGCTAGGGGCCAGTACCTCACTACAATTGATCTTTGTAAGGGGTACTGGCAGATCCCTCTAGCCACCGAAGCCAACCCCAAGTTGGCCTTTTTTCACCCTGTTCGGTCTGTATCAATTTCGGGTCATGCCGTTCGGGATGAAAAACACTCCGGCTACGTTCCAGAGGATGGTGGACCGGCACCTAGATGGGTTCTTAAGACTACGCCTGTGCAAATATGGATGATATCGTCATCTTCAGCGATACCTGGCAGGAGCTCTTGGCCCATATAGGAGCGGTCCTAGATAGGATTAGGGAAGCGGGCTTAACGCTTAAGTCTAGCAAATGTAATATAGGCATGGCTGAGGTACAGTACCTTGGTCACAGAGTGGGATGTGGGCAGCAGAAGCCTGAGCCCACTAAGATTGATGCAGTGGCACAGTGGTCTACCCCCAGGGTAAAAGACTCCGGTGTTAGCCTTCCTTGGGGCAGCAGGGTATTATAGGAAGTTTGTGCCCAATTATAGTGCCCTGGCCAAGCCCCTTACGGATCTTATCCGTAAAAACCTTCCCCGCCAAGTAGTCTGGGTCCCGGAGGGTGAGCAGGCATTCCAGCAGTTAAAACAGGCCATTGTGAATATCAAATACAAGATACACCTAAAACAGAGGCAAAAAGAAATTCATAGGGCAACACCATACAATAAAGAAGTGGCCCCTTGATAGTGATAATGCACTCACAAGATGTACGAATTGTTCAAGCCCATCAATATCTCTTTAAATGTTCAGCTGCAGAAATTCTCAATTTCCAGGGATACACGCCAAAAGAAAAAACTAGACATAGTGCAGCAAAGTTTAAAATATGAAATGACACACTTTAATTAAACACACTTACAAGAAGTGAGCAGTAAGAATGCTCATCATTAAATCACTGGATCGTCTAATCCCAGATGGTACAAAGGTAGAAGACAGGAATAACGAGCAACAATAAAAAAGCTCAACGCGTTTCGTCTACTTCAATGTAGACTTCCTCAGGAGCAAATAAATAATAAAAACAGATACAGCATCAAAAAATCATACATTGGGCGTGGCTTGGCGCTCGGCGAGGACGGACGCATGTGAGAGAGGCTCCGTCCGAAACTGGCCCAAAAGCGACTGAACTAGCAACTTTGATCACAAAAAAACCTCACCACAACACCCCTCAACATGGCCCAACAAAAGGGGAAACGGAATCCCGACAAACCCGACAAAAACGGGTTCTTTACGGCCCGAAACCAGCCGCCAAGAGCTCAGAGTGTGCCGGACCAAGATGGCGACGACACACTCCCTTTACAGGGATCCCCTGGGGAAACAGCCCTCCCAGTCACTCAAGCTATCCTCCAGACATGTCTCGACGATATGTCAGAGAAATTACTGCACAACTTTAACAAATCCATCTCAGATCTACGAAAAGACGTCCAGGAATTGGGAGACCGGACTGCCCATATGGAAAACCGCATGGGCGAATACGCGGAGGCTCACAACGATATGGCCGACCATGTTCAGCACCTGGAACAAGAACTAGCAGCATGCCAAAACAAACTTATGGACTTGGAGGATAGGTCTAGAAGGCACAACATACGTTTCAGAGGTATACCTGAAGCCGTTAAACAAACGGACATAGTAGCACACCTCACAGATCTATTTAAAACTCTGGCTCCGGATCTCCCGGCGGACGTCCTCCTCATTGACAGAGCCCACAGAGTTATGAAGCCTAAATTCCTCCCAGAAGAAGCCCCCAGGGACATACTTGCCTGTCTCCACTACTATCACGCAAAGGAAGCGCTAATGCAGGCATCCAGGAGGCGGAAGGACCTCCCGGCCCCGTATAACACCATCCAACTCTACTCCGACCTCTCAGCGAGAACCCTGCAGAAGAGGAGAGAATTTAAAGCGATAACGGATGCGCTCCGTCTCCACGACATGCCGTACCGCTGGGGTCACCCAGTGCGCCTCCTCGTTCACAAAAATGGAGTTATCAACACCATCACCACCCCGGAGGAAGGCAAGAAAGCCCTGAAGAAATGGGGCATACCATTTCAACCCAACACCCACCCAAGGCAGGACAATCAGCAGCACCCGACCAAGCTACACTCTGACTGGAAGAAACAGCGAGCCGGAGGGAGAGAGTAATAAGCCCCAGCAATGAGATGAAGCCAAATGCCAAGAGACTCGCTACAGCAGCTAAAATGGCGCGAGGCCATCCAGATAAGCGGTCCCCACGCAATTGAACTCAAATTGGACTGAAGGTGTCTTACACCGGACTATGTGTTGCTTTGTCTTGTACACAGATGACTGTCCGCCGGACAGGTGACTATGCTGCCCCCATACACTCACACCACACAGGCCCACATAACCTCGGCCAGCAACACTGTCGCACCACACTTGCACCACAGCATGTGTACACACCGGTGGGCATCCGGATTAACGTACCGGGGTGTACTATAAGCGAGGTATGCAGGCAGACACTACAGCAACATACTCATGCATACACCACACGTCGGGGGGGAATCAGCACACTGGAACACGTCTGTGCTACACAAGCCCGAAGCTCCATAGTGTTGCTAATACCAGTTAATTGTTAGTATATGCTAAAGGGTTCAAGCATATCAACTTTCACTCTATCAAAAAAAAAAAAAAATGTATGATGACACTGTATGTTAACCTCTTAATGTAGTTGATAATTTGACATGTTGATGCATAACCACAGTCAGCTCCACGGACCCATGGGCCCACTGACTTTGGCGGTAACAATCGCATACAATTTCTCTGGCAGCCATGAGGGCACTGCTCATTGATACACGTGATCACAGCATTCAAATGCGGCCAATACTTGGCTTATATCACACTACTCAACCACGCTCCAAATGGCACCGAAGTTCGGTACCTCAACCCATAACTGGGTTATAGTTTTACAATTGTTGTTCGCATGCTCTCAGTGCGACACACCCCCTGTTTCCCCCCCCCCTCCATCCCCTTCCAACCCCGCCAGTAGAGAACCTACAATTCCTACAATGAGCCACAGGATTAATAAAATGCGGAGGAAACGGACAGCACGAGCTGCTGATGAATATATTCTGTCCACACACACACATTGGTACCACATCTGCGACAGGTACCCACAATATCAACAGAGAATTACTTCTTATCTTACAACCCACCCACAACCCCGCTCACATTCAACCATAGCCGAAGGCACAGCTTACACCATGGCACCACTATATGAGAATACAAAGCTATAATGTTAGGGGGCTGAACACCCCATATAAGAGGCACTGCCTCTTCAGAGATCTTAAAATGACCTGATGTCATTTGCTTGCAAGAGACACACTTTAAATCCCCACCAGCAATGAAACAAGCCCTATATCCACACCAGTTCCATGCCACGTCCGGGAAAAAAACTGGGGGCACATCAATCTTAATCAGCAACACGGTCTCCTTCCACCACCACGACACAAAGAAAGACATAGAGGGAAGGTACATCATAGTCATATGCACAATCAACAACTCTAAATACACTCTGGCCAATATATACGCACCAAACACAAACCAAAGAAACTTTCTACATAAAATACTAACATTACTACAACCGATTCAGGAAGGCATTCTAGTTCTCTGTGGGGACTTCAACCAAATTCTAGACCCCCACAGCGACACGACTTCTGCAACCACCAAAGGGTCTCAGGCTAGACACGACAGGGCATGCACAACATACCTCAAACTACTGGACAGCCACCGACTGTACGATGTGTGGAAAGTCCTACACCCACAGGAAAAGGACTATACATACTACTCCTCCACACACAATACATACACAAGAATAGATAGATTTCACTTGGAGAGCCAACACCTAGACCAAGTGCTAGACTGCTCCATAGGCCAGATCACGTGGTCTGACCACGCCCCACTGACATTGACCCTAAAAGACAACTATGACTACAAGCACAAGAGCCCATGGAGACTAAACGAAACGTTGCTGACGGATGAATCCTTCGCTAAGCAACTTGAGGAAGCCACCTCGGAATTCTTCACGTTGAATAGCACAGGGGAAACAACAGCTAGCACAGTATGGCAAACACACAAAGCAGTCATTAGGGGGCTACTTTTGAGGCGGGCAGCACAACTAAAACGTTCCAGCCAAACCCAGTGGCTGGCATGGCACAAACAACTAGCGGATCTTACGACAGTGAACAAAACCCTTCCGACGGTGACAACACAGAAAGCCATTAAAGACATTGCGGATAAGATCAAACTTCACACTTTAGAACGAGTAGGGTTTAATCTTCGCAAACTTAACTCCACACACTACGCCCAGGGAAACAAAGCCAGCAAAACGTTAGCCGCAAGACTGAAAAGAAAAGAAGCTAACACAAAGATCTCACACATCTTCACCCACGATAACAAAAAAGTAATCTCCCCCATCGATATCAGCAACACGTTCGCTAACTACTATGATAAACTATATAATCTGGCACAATCCAACCAATCACCTACCCCCGCGGACAAAGAGATAGAGACCTACTTAAGAGACATACCCCTCCCGACTCTCACGAGAGACCAATCGGCCCAACTAGCCAACCGAGTCACAACAAGTGAAGTGATTGAAGCCATACGCACCCTGCCTAAAAACAAAGCACCAGGCCCAGACGGATTTACGAATACGTACTACAAAAAGTTCGCAACTCAACTAGCCCCCTCACTGACCTCCCTATTCAACGAGGCCACTCAGAACAAGACGCTCCCAACAGACCTCCTTTTGGCACACATCATTACACTCCCCAAACCCGGCAAACCACGACCCACTGCCCAAACTTCAGACCAATCTCCCTATTAAACACAGATGCTAAACTATATGCAAAGATATATGCCCGTCGCCTAGGGTCGATACTCCCAACACTGATCCATGATGACCAGGTGGGGTTCGTGGCAGGCAGACAGGGAGCTGACAATACACGCAAAGTGCTAGATCTCATTCACAGCATAAGGAGGAAAAATTTAAGCGGTCTCCTAGTCTCGCTTGACGCGGAGAAAGCTTTTGATAGACTTAACTGGAAATTCCTCCAAATGGTCTTGACGAAATTTGGCTTCCCCCGCCAATTCATAAACACGGTAGCGGCACTCTATAGCAACCCAACTGCGAGAGTCCTAAATGCAGGATTCCGATCGAATGAATTCACTATAAACAATGGCTCACGACAGGGCTGCCCCCTGTCCCCACTGTTATGCGTGCTGGCATTAGAACCATTAGCAGCCAAAATTAGGTCAAACTCTGCAATACATGGGATACCACTCAATCAACAGGAATACAAATTAAGTATCTTTGCAGACGATATATTCCTAACCCTCACACAACCATTAATTTCCCTACCCAACCTTATGCACCTCATTACGGAGTACGGACAGCTCTCACACTACAAACTTAATGTTACCAAAACACAAGCCCTAAGCCTCAATATAAATAGCACCCAACTGGACACCCTCAAAAAATCATTCCCACTGGACTGGAGAAACGACTACCTCACGTTTCTGGGAGTCAAAATGGCTAAGAACCCCACTTCCTTGTTTCAACTAAACTACCAACCCCTGTTAACAACCTTCAAAAACACCCTAGACTCCTGGGAAGGGAAATATCTATCGTGGGTCGGACGCATAGCGGCAATAAAAATGTCCCTATTGCCAAAACTGCAATACCTATATAGATCGCTACAAATACAATTACCGGGGAACTTCCTTAAAACTCTAACGAAACTACTCATAAGCTTCATATGGCAACATAAGACACCTAGAGTAGCAACTAAAGTATTGCAAAAACCAATAACCCACGGAGGACTAGGTCTCCCGGACTTGGGATCATACTACAAAGCGGCAGCACTATCAGTGATACCGCACCTACGCCAAAGGCAAGAGTCACCCCAATGGCTACAGATAGAAAACTATTGGGCCCAACACCCGACATTACACTCTATCTTTTGGACCCCTAAAAGCCATAGGAAAGACACCACACATCTCCTACCAACGACCCAACACATTTTACAACAATGGGACATATCCAAACACAAAATGGTACTCTACCACCCAACGGCACTAGCAACCCCCCTAACCGCCCTAGGAGTGGCAATACCGACACTAAACACCCGCCCATGGACACAAGGAGGCATTGAAACCGTTGTCCAACTATACAACGAAAAGGGTCTTAAACCCTTCTCGGACCTACAGCAGGAATTCAACCTCCCCCACAAACTAACCTTTGCGTACCTGCAAATAAAATCATACTTATCCAACAATGCACCCACTAGGGCAGGGGTTCCACTACCACAGCGCATGACCGAATTTGAACAGTCATGCGTTACCACAAAGCCCTTCAAAAGGCTACTCTCTCTGAATTATAACACCCTCCTCCAACAACCAATCGAACTCACCGACACGCACATACAGGCATGGCACAAGGAATTAGGGAAAACTATTCCTCAGGAACATTGGGCCAAGGCTTACTCTTCACATAAAGGCATTACCTCATGTGCCAATCACCTTGAGTTACAACGCAAACTGTTATATAGATGGTACCTCGTGCCCACCAAGATTAACCAGATATGGCCAAACTCCTCTAATAAGTGCTGGAGATGTGGACAAGCCAAAGGCAATATGTCTCACATATGGTGGTCATGCCAAGCATTACAATCATTCTGGGAAGAGACCCAAGCCACGTTAGCTGAAGCAATCCAAACACAAATATCACTAACACTAGAGCTATGCATCCTATTTATCCCACCCGACATGATCACTCAAGAAAAGTGGGCAATTGCATACCACATCTTGATCTCAGCAGCAATGTGCATAGCTAGATTATGGAAGTCCACAACACCCCCCAACCGAAACTCTTTGTTGAAACAAGTGGAACTCAACTGGAAATACGAAATGATATACGCACACCAATTTGGTATGAAAAAACACTTACACCGCGCCCATAATAGATGGACAGAATATCTAGCTACCTCCACGACGGACAATGTCCGGGGCCAAACATAGGCCCACACAGCATTGGCTCCCCCCCAACCCCCCCCCCGTCTCCCCCCCTCCCCTTCGTACACCCCCTCTTATGTTCAAAAGTACACTATATGCCTCCGAAGTCGATTTAGGCACCCTAACAGCGAAAGGCACAGCACAAACACAGTGGAGGGACAGGTATTGGGTTAAGTCAAGGCACTAGGGTTATGAACAGAACTGGTAGCCCGCTGAGCTACCACAGATATGGGTATCCACACAGGCGTTGAGTGATACCCAGCAAAGAAAGCTGCGCACGATAAGTATACGCATACATCACCCTCCCTGTCACCACAACTGTTTTGAAATAATTCCGGTGCACTATGTAACAATACGTTGGCATGTACTGTACAATAAAAATTGTCAAATTGAAAAAAAAAAAAAAAAATCATACATTACAATCTATCAAGTGTCAATAGTGGCTTTTAAATATCCCCCTCTTCATGCCTCCATTCATTCTGCCTATCAGTTGCGCTGGGGTCACCTGTTCTGCGTCGTTCATCAGTCCATGACCATATTTGGACTTCTGTTAATCTTCGTGAAACGCATATGTGTTACACCTATCGGAGGCTCAGGAGGACGTCATCCATCTGCGCGTGGAACGCACATGCGTTCCATTTCCCCAGTTCCGTCGGTCGGGAAGAATAAAAGAGTATGAGAGATCAAATATACACAACTAAACATATGGAGTGGAGTTAAATTCAGCAGGGTTCACTTCATAGAGACTATACTTATAACAATAAATTAAACACCTCATTCAATGAAGTAAAAAAACAGCCAATATATAAAGAAAAAAAGGAGAAGAAACAAGACATAATATGCACAAATAGATGTCATCTTAAATTACTTCCTCCAAAGAGGGTGATTCTGGAAAATACAAACTTATAAAATGAATAAATGATGAATAAATATACAAATAAAAATAATAAATTCGATAAATAAAAATAAAAATGAAAATAAAAATAAACCTGATGATAATAAAAATAAAATAAAAATCTAAATAAATGAAATAAAATAAAAAGATTATAAAAATAATAAAAATGAAAATAAATGTAAATATAAAAATATGAATAAAAAAATAAATATAAATATGAAAATAAATATAAAAGTAAAATTAAAATTAAAAATAAAAATAAAAACAAAATGAAAATAAAAATAAGTAATAATGGCTCAAAGAAAACAAATCAAATCAAAATCCACATTCAACCCTAATGGTTGAAGGGTTTTAAGTTTGTGGATCCAGAATCCCTCCATTTGTCTGAGTCTCATCACAATATCTCCTCCTCTCACACCCAGTGATATTTGTTCGATCACCATCCACGAGAATTTATGAAATAGATCTCACCAATCGCTTTGCTCCTCTAAGAGAACTAAACACTCTAACCAAGAAGAGAAGATTAAGCTTAGAAGGATAGAGTCTCCACTAAGTTTAGATGAGGAAGAGGAAGCGATGGGTATTTTCAATATATCTAATGCACATCTTACAGAAGGGCTTAAAATGTACCTCAATGTCCTTCCGGATTCTTTTAAAAGTTATACTGACATGCAGAAATTCATTAGAAAACTAAGTCTTAAAAGATTCTTCATTAAAAAACAATTGGGGGGGGCGTGTCCTGGACGCGGACCGGAGCAGCCGCATGTGAACAGAGCTCTGTGCCGTGACGGCTAAAAAGGAGTAACAACAAGCCTGAAAACCGACAGCACGCCACAACATACCATCGGAAACTACAATGTCCCAGCCTAAGAGCAAAAGGGCAGGAGAGAAAACTAACTTTTTCACCGCAAGAACAGCGCATGGTAAGGCCTCAAACCAGACTGAGTACTCCCAAGATGGCGCGGGCGGAAAACTTGAAGTGGAAGCCCAAACTGGCGAACAGGAAAATCCACTATCCCACAGCTCCCTAAAAAAACTGCTTGAGGAGATGTCAGACAAGATAGTGGGTAAGCTGGACCCTGCCATTAGAAACCTGAGAAAAGAAATACAAGACATAGGTCAGCGTACATCACACGCTGAGGACCAGATGGCAGAAATGTCAGAAGCCCACAACTCACTAGCAGACACAGTAGAAGGTCTGGTTGAAAGATTAAACAGCCAAGACCTCAAAATAGCTGACATGTAGGACCGGGCATGCCGCAACAACCTGCGGATAAGGGGAGTAGCGGAGACGGTGAAACCGAAGGACCTCTCCGCCCACATCACGGGCCTAATGAAAGAATTGGCCCCTGACTTACCACACAATTTGCTCCTATTGGATAGAATCCACAGAGCGGCTAAACCAAAATTTTTACCACCAACTACACCACGAAACATCCTGCTCAGACTACACTACTACCATGCCAAAGAAGCAATCCTAAACGCAGGCAGAAAAAGGAAAGAGATGCCCCCGGCCTACAAGGGAATGACAATCTATGCAGACATCTCCTCCTACACACTGAAAAGGAGACGGGACTTTTGAGAGGTGACCACGAGACTCAGAGACAACCATCTCCCATATAGATGGGGGTATCCCACCAAGCTTTTAATAATGAGGGAAGGGAAGACCATCATCATCGGATCGCCGGAGGAAGGCCAACGACTCCTGAGGGATTGGAACATAGCAACCACACTACCGACGGACCAAGAGGGCAGCAGGCCCAAAACGACACAAGAATGGAAAAAAGGTGAAAAAAAGATAAAAGAAAAAGGCAAAAAAAAGAGGATATAAGAAAAAGAAAGAGACTGTTAATGTGAACACTTTTAGGGCATCCAGACCCATGGACATACCAACTGCGGGGTTGGGTAAAGTACAACATATAACGCATTTACGAATCATCACACGTGCTCCAGGTAGAGCACGGGGATGGGTGGGGGAATATATAGGGGCCAAGGGAACAGAGCAGACAGCGGCCTTATACCCCCCTCCCTGCTCACTGAGGAGAGACAAAACTGACTCAACTAGCCCGCCCGCAGAGGGTAATTGTGACAGACCCATCTGTCTGGACTAAAAGTACTGTGTTCGCCTGTTTTGCCGTTTGCATGAATTCTCCCATTCGTATGCTTTGTTTTAGGGAATGTCTGGTTTTGTCGAACGGAACTACCGAACGGACGGCCACCCAGAAGAGAAGTGTGCTGCTGGTTAACCTATTGATCCCAATTAGAACGTTGCGGTTAACCACAGACACTTCTCAATTAAAACCGAATGCCGGGTGGTCGTCGTTCGTATGTCGACCACGAGGCGGCGGCCATTTTAACCATGTGAAAGACCAGCGGTGTTCGACGATTATTTCATGGATCTGAAAACGGACACTTTTTCAACAGAACACCGCTGAAGCCGTCGACCTCCCCTTCTCAATCGACAAAAGCATACGAATGCCGGCCGTTCGGGAGATTCAACAACATGAATGGACTTAACCCAGATAGCCGTCCCATGGAGTCAATCGCATACCGAAGAACTGTAACAGACTTTGACTCCATGGGGATTGAACTATGCGAATGGGATCTGAGCGCTATTCACCAATAATATGCACTCAGATCCAGGCTATCTGGGGATGTGTTACACCAATGCAATATGTTCGGTAGTTATAAAGTTATAGATTTTTATGTGTTTTGTGACTTGTACTTAAAATGGCGATTTGCCTCTGCTCGGGAGATAATTGAATTACTTCCCAATTATCCCCCGAGCAGAGGGGAGGGAACAGTGATGCATGCTGGGAATATTGTGGGGATGTATGTCAAAAATGTCCCCATGTCTTTCTGTAATTCCAGTCTCCCATTTGGTCCCCTAGGGGAGTGTCCACCAAGTGGGAGACCTGCATAAATACCGGGCAGGTAGCCCACAGTAAATCAGTTCGTGTTTTACCCTAGTTCGCATGATTATACTGCATACGCTACCAGGCTACATTATTGCGAACGGGGAGCATTCACTAAACGGCGGTTTGCACATTTATTACTGGAGGTACCGTGTAGCGGTTAGCACCAGGCGACCCTACAAATATACGGTTTGTACCTGCATTCCCGGAGTGTGAACAGGCATTTCAGTTGTTGAAAGATGCATTGACAAATGCCCCTGTCTTGGCAGCTCCCAATCCAACTAAACGCTTTCTTGTCCACACAGACGCTTCTATGTTTGGATTGGGAGCAGTATTGAGCCAAGTCGGGGCCGATGGCGGAGAACATCCCGTGGCTTACATCAGCCGGAAACTGTTACCTCGAGAAGTAAGCTACGCCGCCATCGAGAAAGAATGCCTGGCTGTGGTGTGGGCCCTGAAGAAATTACAACCATATTTGTACGGACAAGCTTTTTCCCTGCTCACGGATCACAACCCGTTAGTATGGCTAAACCGGGTGGCTGGGGACAATGCCCGGCTGCTGCGCTGGAGTCTGGCGCTGCAGCCCTTTGACTTTAATATCCAGTACCGCCCGGGTAAACAGAATGGAAATGCTGATGGGTTGTCTCGACAAACTGACCTAGAGAAATGATCCGTGAGCCTCCCCGGACATCCCCAAGCCGATCTGTGTTGGATCAGACTGTGTATGCCGGCTTGTGGGCAAGGGGGAGCAGTGTAGCGGTTAGCACCAGGCGACCCTACAAATATATGGTTTGTACCTGCATTCCTGTATCTGCTGTATTTTCTATATATTAAAAAGAATTGTATTCCTCTGGTTGTTCGGTAGTTTCATTCCCTTAGTTTATTCGAATGAAACTACCGAACAACCAGACCTCCCCTGTGTGAAGTGTGTCCTCAATTACCCATTGCAACATTGTTGCGAATGGGTAATTGAATAGTAAGTAGCCGTCCTTTGTTCTCGGGGGTGGCCGCCATTCGACAAACGAACACGCGGCAGCGGCCATTTTAAAACTCCCGAACAGCGGTGTTTTGCCGTCGAGTGTCTGGAACTAAAATCGGACACTCGAGTAGGCGAACACCGCTGAGACCTCCACAGCCCTGGTCCGTTCGGTTCCAAACTACCGAACGGCCCCTCGTTCAGTAGATAGAAAATACCGAACGAGGGGATTCAGGCGAACCCTCCCTAGCCTCTATAGCTAGAGGCTTTCGTGTATTTTGTTCCCTTATGCCAGGACCGACCGCAGGGTCCATTCGCATGGAACCTTATTCGGCTATATCAGTTAGTGCGGTCGGTCATTTTATTCCCTCCATACATTTCCCGAACCCCTGGTCTGATCTGGGTGATTTTTGGATATGTTGTTCACCCAGATCAGGGGTATCCGGGGATTTAGGGGTACATCCAGAAACGGGGGGAATTGGTGTGCTGGATCCTTATCCAGCACACCAATTCCCCCCGTTTCTGGATGTACCCCTAAACGTAGGGGTACCTCTTTAAATCCTACATCCCCGGATACCCCTGATCTGGGTGAACAACATATCCAAAAATCACCCAGATCAGACCAGGGGTTCGGGAAATGTATGGAGGGAATAAAATGACCGACCGCACTAACTGATATAGCCGAATAAGGTTCCATGCGAATGGGCCCTGCGGTCGGTCCTGGCATCTCCTCCCCTCAGCCAGCATCATAATCCTAAAGATGGGTGGGAGGTTACCAGGACAGGATTGGCTACTGTAATAATTACTGTAAATCCCTCCCTTGCATGGGAGCATGCTTTATAAGGAGACTGTGATTAAAGGCTTGTCAGTTATGCTCCTGAAACTGTGTGTCGTCCAGTTATTGGGATTGCTGTTGGGATATTGCTGTATTTTACCTGCTGGACACCTTGCCTGTGGATTTACTATTTACTTGTTCCTGAGTCCCACTTGGATTATAAGCGGAGATACCCTGGGTAATATTGCATCTCCGCTACATTGGTTGGCAGCGCTGGGATCCAGACTCACAGAGGAACAAGCATAAATGGAGTACGGATGGAGATTGATTTTGCCACACTAAAACGCTCCACGCTAAAAGACCTTCTAGAGGCAAGGGGTATACAAGCCAGCAGTAAGACAAAAGCGGTACTCATTACTGAACTGATGGCGGAGTACCGAATGGACGGCGATTCGGTTCCCGAACAGGGGAATTCGGAAGAAACACCGGAACAAAGGGAGTTCTAGAGACAGGTACAATTTCGTCTGTCTTTCTATGGGGAACACCCTCCAACAGAGATTGTTTCAAAAACAATGACGGAGGTCCAGGAATTTATACTAAGGAGTCAAACAGCGGCCCCAGAACGCAGCTCTGCAGTAAATATGCCACAAGAAGGTAAGCCTAAAATACCGTACCAAGCTTTTAAAACATATGTGGAGGCAGAGGAAGATATAGACGCTTTCCTGCAAGATTTTGAGAGACTGTGTGCACTGCATAGAATCAGCGCAGAAGACTGGGTACCTATTTTGGCAGGGAGGTTAACTGGGAGGGCAGCTGAGGCATACCGTACTGTACCTAATGAAGAAATACGGAATTACAACAAGGTGAAAGAAATTATATTGGCCAGGTATGCTATAACACCAGAAGCATACCGGCGGAGATTCAGGGATTTAAAAAAGGTGGAGAAAGACTCACACGCAGAGTGGGCATGCAGACTACAACGAGCAGGCCGCCTGGCAGGGCCCTTATAAGGTGGTAGAACAACGGTGTGACACCACTTATATAATCGGCTCATGCGTTGGTACTGGGGGGCGACGCATGCTCCATGTAAACATGATGAAGCCCTACCAGGAACGCTCTGAGGAAGTGACCGCTATATGTGCGCCTAACTCCGAGGAGTTTGACAGTTTGCCTCTCCCGGATCTGCTGGGAGAGGGTCAGTTATCCGGGGACTTAGGGGAAGTCACCCTGGGGGATCGGTTGAGCCCACAGGAGCGGAGCGAGGTACAACAGCTGTTGAGGGAGAAGCAAGCGAGCAAGGCACGGTCTATGGAGGATGTATTGCAAATGGTACTGCTGGAGCAATTTTATGAAGGAGTAACCAGCGAGGTACAGGAGTGGGTAAGAGACAGAAACCCTACCTCCCTTACCGAAGCAGCCAGGAAGGCAGACGAGTACCTGGATGCACGCAGGCAGCAAAAACCTGCAGCTCCAAAAGTACCTTTTAAAACCTTTGGGGGGAACAACTACACACCAGCTCTACCAAGACCACTGCCACCACCCCCACCGCCAGCTGCACAGCCACGTTTTTGCCAGCCCACGTCGGGCCCTTGCCACCACTGCCAGAAATGGGGACACTATAAAAGGGAATGCCCCCAGCTGCGGGACCGTTCCACCTGGATTCGCCTCGGCCCACCACCACCACCGAGAGCAGCCGCAGCCCACCACTACCAGGACATCGTGGCCACACCGTATGGTTCAGCAGTGCCCATCACAACGGTAGAACAGTGGGAGGTACTGCACGAGGCGGACCCTGTCCAGGCTAATGCTGACAACCGCCAGCATCACAGGCAGACCGTGTATCTGGAGGGTAAAGCGGTTCAGGGGCTACGTGACTCAGGAGCCACCATCACCCTGGTAAAAAGTCACCTGGTCTCAGACCAAGCTAAACTAAGTAAGACTGTGGCCGTCAGGGTAGCCGGGGGAGCAGTATACCGGCTACCTACAGCAAGGGTACATTTGCATTGGGGAGCGGGGGCAGGGCATGTGGAGGTGGGGTTGATGCCGCAGTTACCGGCGGAGGTTTTATTGGGGAACGATCTGGGGAGGCTCACATCTGCTTTTGAGCCCCAGACACCCACCACAGGAGAAGCTCACCCTGTGGTTACGCGACAACAGGCCCGCACCCAGGACTACAACACACTCCCGGAGGTTCAGGTAAGAGATCCTTCCCCTTCCCTTGACTGTGTTCCCTGGGCCCCTCCTAACGAATTTGCAGCTGAAGTAGTGACTGACCCCACCTTGCAGGTGTATAGGGATAAGGTGACAGCAGACACGCCTGGGGGGGAGGGCGAAAGGTTTATTTGGGACAAACAGCTGCTATATCGGGAGACGGATAAGAAGGTATCCGGGTCAGACCCGATTGTGATGAGGCAGTTAGTGGTACCTCAGCGGTACCGGGCGGAGTTACTACGGATAGCACATGACATTCCGCTATCTGGACATTTAGGGGTCAGCAGGACCCGATACAGGTTAACCCAAAGTTTCTTTTGGCCGGGGATTAGCCAGGAGGTGCGCAGGTATTGCAACACGTGCGATACCTGTCAAAGGGTGGGGAAAAGGGGGGACCGGCGCAAGGCCAAGTTACATCCCCTTCCCATAATCGAGGAACCTTTTAGCAGGGTAGCCGTTGACCTAATAGGACCCCTCAACAAAGCGAGCCCGTCAGGTAAAAGATTTATCCTGACAGTAGTAGATTATGCCACTAGATATCCAGAGGCGGTGGCCCTGACAAATATACAGGCGGAGACAGTAGCAGAAGCCCTGATGAAGATATTCTCCCGGGTGGGACTCCCCAGGGAGATTGTCTCCGATCAGGGCACCCAGTTCACCGCCGAAGTCACGCAGCGCCTCTGGAAGTTTTGTGACATTAAGCCGGTCATTAGTTCCCCTTACCACCCCCAGACGAATGGGCTCTGCGAACGTTTCAACGGTACATTGAAACAAATGCTCCGAACCTTCGCAGAGACCCACAAGGACTGGGAGAAATTCCTGCCCCACCTCCTCTTTGCTTATAGGGAGGTGCCGCAGGAATCCACTGGGTTTTCCCCATTTGAACTATTATTTGGCCGCAGGGTACGAGGGCCTTTAGATTTGATCAGAGAGCATTGGGAGGGAGAACGGAGCACTGACGGTACCCCCATCATACCATACGTGTTGGCATTCCGAGACCGCCTTGAGGCCTTAACTCAGACGGTACGCGAGAATTTGCAGGCGGCTCAGACACGCCAGCGCACATGGTATGATCGGGGCGCCAGGGACCGTAGCTTTCAGGTCGGGCAGAAGGTGTTGATCTTAAAACCGGTCCGACACGATAAGCTGCAGGCCGCCTGGCAGGGCCCTTATAAGGTGGTAGAACAACGGTGTGACACCACTTATATAATCGGCTCATGCGTTGGTACTGGGGGGCGACGCATGCTCCATGTAAACATGATGAAGCCCTACCAGGAGCGCTCTGAGGAAGTGACCGCTATATGTGCGCCTAACTCCGAGGAGTTTGACAGTTTGCCTCTCCCGGATCTGCTGGGAGAGGGTCAGTTATCCGGGGACTTAGGGGAAGTCACCCTGGGGGATCGGTTGAGCCCACAGGAGCGGAGCGAGGTACAACAGCTGTTGAGGGAGAAGCAGGATATCTTCTCTAATGTACCTGGTTACACTCCTCTGGCCACTCACAGAGTAGACACCCCAGGGCAACTTCCCATGCGTCAGACCCCGTACCGCATCCCAGAAGCGGTACGGGCGAACATGCGCAAGGAGATCGATGAGATGCTCCAGCTGGGGGTGATTGAGCCCTCCGACAGCCCCTGGGCATCTCCGGTAGTACTAGTACCAAAGCGGGACGGCACGACCCGGTTTTGTGTAGACTACCGGAGATTGAATGAGAAGACGGTATCTGACGCCTACCCCATGCCCAGGATAGACGAACTCCTGGATCGGATGGCGAGGGGGCACTATCTCACCACGATTGACTTGTGTAAAGGGTATTGGCAAATACCCTTGGCGCAAGACGCCATCCCTAAGTCGGCCTTTGTCACCCCATTCGGCTTGTACCAATTTAAGGTCATGCCGTTTGGGATGAAAAACGCCCCGGCTACTTTTCAGCGGATGGTGGACCGCCTCCTGGATGGGTTCCAAGATTATACCTGCGCATACCTCGATGATATTGCCATTTTCAGCAATACCTGGCAGGAACACCTGACCCATATAGGAGCGGTCCTAGACAGGATTAGGGCCGCTGGTTTAACCCTGAAACCAGTCAAATGCAGCATAGGCATGGCTGAAGTACAGTACCTAGGTCATCGGGTAGGATGCGGCAAGCAAAAGCCGGAACCAGCCAAAGTAGAGGCTGTAGCTCAATGGCCCACCCCTAGGACTAAGACTCAGGTGTTAGCGTTCCTAGGAACAGCCGGATACTACCGGAAGTTTGTCCCGAATTACAGTGCCCTGGCCAAACCTCTCACCGACTTGACCCGTAAAAACCTACCCCGCCAAGTAACCTGGACCCCGGAGTGTGAACAGGCATTTCAGTTGTTGAAAGATGCATTGACAAATGCCCCTGTCTTGGCAGCTCCCAATCCAACTAAACGCTTTCTTGTCCACACAGACGCTTCTATGTTTGGATTGGGAGCAGTATTGAGCCAAGTCGGGGCCGATGGCGGAGAACATCCCGTGGCTTACATCAGCCGGAAACTGTTACCTCGAGAAGTAAGCTACGCC